TGTATATATATATATATATATACACACACACACATAATATCATTAAACAAGTGTATGAAAAACTTGTTAAATTATAGCTTTTTCACTTTACCTTACTCTTAAGTTTGACAATATCTTCATTTAATTGTAACCTCTGCTCTTTTTCTTTGTAGAGTTCCTGCTGTTGGCTAGTTCAGAGAGAGAGAGAGAGAGAGATGTACATTAGTTATGATAATGACTAGACAGAGAGAAAAAAGAAGATAATAATACAACTGTATTAAATCAATGTAAAACATTAATGTTAATTAAATAAATCACAATTTCATTTACTGACATTACAGATGTTGTTCATCATTAAAATTTGTATTGGCTCACTGAAATTACAGAAATTTGGACATTATCGTTTGCAACAAATTAAATATGCTAAACTGCAGTTAGCTTGAGCTAACTTTTACACAAATCTATGGGGTTTACTCAGTAAAACAGTTGAAAAAACATCTGCAACATTTGCTTTTTGTGCCATTAATATCTCTTGAGTGCTGAAATATTTACTAAAACAGAAGGGACAAACTTGCAAAAATCTACATCGATTAGATCTATTAGTTTTGGAAATGTATAGCTTTTAATATTATTACATTGACGAGGACCTTATGATATCCTCAACCAAAAATATAAGGTGAATTTTTCTCCAGCAAAACTGAGCTTATCTCGATATCTGAAGCAATAATTCTTGTATGAAGCTTAGAAACATTCATGCACTTATCTCATGACAGCAATGAAACTTAAAAATAGTTTATAAACTGATCAGTTAGGTTTTCCTGATATATTTTAGGATTTCAGAATCTGTTATTTAGATTTTGCATTACTGTGTTTGGAATGTATTAATAATTTACTCTTTCCAAACATAATTTCCGTTTTTCATTTCTTATCAGTACAAGCATTCAAATTAAGTACTAAGCCAGGTGTGGTCCAGTGAGTAGTGTGCCAAACTGTGATTTTGGGGGTCCATGGTTTGCATTTTCCTGTAGTCTTGTCAGTTTTAATTAGAGATGCTAGCACAGATAACCTTTACGATGCTTTGCACAATATCCAAAGCGAACAAACAAACCTAATAGTACAACACAACATACCATACAATTTGCAGCTAACCAAGTAAAACCTTTATGACGTAGATGATCTTGTCAAAATTAGGACCATTTTCATGAGGTATCTGTAAGAGTGGTTTAAATGAATAGAGATATGTTGATTTGCTGATAATGTTACTTTTAGTTTCAAGTCTTCCAAATAGCTTGTCCGATGAAGTAGTTTTTCCCTATTCTAAGAAATTAAGCAGCTTTAAGATCTCAACTAAACCTAATATATTGCTTTAAAGAAATAGGAACCATAAGGCAGATGCAGTGATTTATTATTTTTGTAACATTCATTTAGGGAAACGTATATTTAAAAAAATATAAAAGTATTATCTTCCCTTTATAACTTACTATTGCAGCAAAAAAAAAAGTTTAGGCAACTATTTATGCTCTAGTCAAAAGACATAGATATCCTCTACTTCTTGTGTATGTAGCTTGTGGTGTCAGTTTTTGTGCAAGTATATCTCATTACTTCTTGTGTATGCAGCTGTGAACTTAATTAACACTTTTTCTTGTTATAGCCGTATAGACAAAGAAAATCTGAATATTTTATATTAAGCATTATTTGGCAAAGTCTATTTTTTATTTGAAAAATAATATGGTTATTACTAATATAATACGTTTGCCATAATTTTAAACCAAACTGTCATTTTCTATTCCTAATTGACCATGTGACTGCCACACAAATATTTTATATTTGTACTGTAATTAGAATGATGGCACTCGTGGCATGTTCCATCTGACAAACTGTATTGTAGAGATTGCTTAAAATATACTTAATTTTTACCCACTATCAGATTTTCAAGGTAATTTACAAACATGAGGAATCTTCATAAATATCTTACTGTGATAATTATTTATTCTAGTATTTACTCATTGTAGGTGGAAAAATTAATGAAGACTTCAGAAAATTATTTTAAAAAAGTGTTATAAAAATCAGAGATGAAAATATACCACAGATATTTGTTGAAAATATTTTTAAGATTGATTCATATTTGTTAGGAGAACGTTTGGTGTACGTAGAAGGGGATTATGGCAGTAATGACTTAATTAGAAACAGAAGAATGGGATATTGACTAATAATGAGCAGTAATGTATACTCAGTATATTAGAGAGCATTTGAAATACCTTAGACATGTTACAGCTTCAATATTTTTTTTATATTCTCTGTTCCTTAGGTATAGCTTTAGTGAGTTACATATGATGATTAATTTGTGTAGATCCTTACAACTTGAACATTTCAAATGTATCTGCATGCAGAGAGAGAAAGAGCTATTGTGAATTCTGTACAAATGATCCTGATTCCATAATTCTAAACAACCCCAGTACTTTAGTTTTTGTAAATTTAAAGGAAATGCAAATACAATTTTAAGTTTTTGTTTTCAGTCAATTTTTTATATAAATAGAAATCACTTTTATCCATTAAAACTTGACATGATGAATGTAAAACTCCCATTTGATGTTGTGTATAGCACACCTGAGTGGCCATAGTATTTAAATGTTTGCTGATTATCTCTCTAATTAAACTTGTTAAACCTTTTGGACTTCAAATTTTGAAAAATAAAACTTAGTAAATCTCTAGTAAGCCCACACAGTTTATTTAGAATTAAAATTATTGAAGATTGTTAGGGGAGAAAAAAGGACTTTTTCATCACTTTTTTACAATTATCGGTAGCTAGAAAACATTTTCTGGTGTCACATTTTGCAATTCAGTATATTTGTAAAAATACAATGAGTATAAAGTTATAATATCCTTTTGATATTTATTCATTGATGATGAAAGAACTTTATAGTTCATCAGTTTGTTTTTTGTAACATACACTATGGAGTTTTTTTTTCTACTTGTGTAGGATCTCCTGTTAAATGATTTAGTCCAACATAAAGTACTGTACTGCACATTCTACAAAAATACATTGTTATTTATTTTATGGGTTGTTAACTGTATATGTACATGTATTTTGTAAGATAGTATCCTAACAATACAGTGCCCATGA